TCTCCTCACTCTCATTAGTAGAGCTAGGTTAAGGTAGTTAGCATCGGAGTTCAGAGCTAGGTTTACGTAGTTAGGATTGGAAGTTTTAGTCAAGCCGAGTCGAGTGTTGCCTTGAGGTTCTAGAGTTTGTCTTTAGGAAGTTCTGGTATAATCTCTTCTATTATATTATATCCTTTCCTTTTGAAAGAGTTAGAGGCTTGGAGCATTTCAATTCAAGTGTCGTAATCCTTTATTTTGGGTTAAGATTTTATTTTGCATTTACTTTATTCTACTTGCAAAATATTCTAGCCATTCCAAATTATATAATTCACTTTAGGTTTGTGTTCTAAGTCAAACTCATCTGACTTATCAAATCAAGTTTATACAAAAATGCATTGACGTCTACAACATTAAATTAGTTTCATGTTTTAAAATTCAAATTTTTAATTTTTTAGTGACTAATAGACCTAAGAAAACTCGGCCTACCCTGAGCCTGACGGGATTGGCCCGACCCGTTCACCTTATTGGACAAGGTATATATCGCTGTCCAGAAACATTTTCTTGGACCGAAAAATTATTTCCATTTTACACTAAAACACACATGTAGCTTGCCTGGGCTGGGTCAGGCTCGAACCTTCTAGACCCAAAATCAGTAGGGTTTTTTTGCAGGCCCGCGGCTTGGCCTGACTTTTGCTCAGGTCTTGTGACTAATCACACGAGCTAGAAATTAGGGTGCTATAGACTAGCCACTTATTGGAAACTCGTAGTCGAATTCACTAGTCTTGGGGCCGGTGAACGAGAGTTCTAAAATCTTCATCAATTTGTGCCTGACTTGACCGTCTTACCAAGCGTTGTTGATGTGTAACATTTCTTCTTTTGCCATGTAGTTTAACCATGTCATTCTGCAATATCTGATGTCTATTCTTGTTCATGGCTCTAGGGGTTCCATGCCATACTTAAAACTTCTTCATATCCTTCCCAGATGCTTATACCTAGGTTTATATACTCGGTATTGAGGGGGAGGGGTGTTGAATACTAGAAGGCAGGAATAGGGTTCAATTAGAGGGGTTTTCACGTAGCGCTATTACAGTGCAGCCAAGATATCATAATGTATTGGTTTTGTTTGCATTGTTGCATCTCTTTCCAACTAACATAAACACCCCTATAACCTCTAGGTGCTCCATCTTGTTTGCATATTCATGTTAGGGTTTAGTATGTTCACTAGCCAGAAAGGTATTTTGCACTATTTTTATGTGTAGTCCTAATTACATGACATCTTTTTCTGTTTCGTAAATAATTTTTATCAACAAAAAAGGAGAACTTCATATACATTTGGTTTTTCAAAAGAATATATTAAATGAAAAAACTGATTGGATCAACCTATTAGATCCTCTAGAAAAGCACAATTGACATGAGAATGCCTTGTACATTTAAGTATCACGAGAATGGCACAATTGCACATTGCACTGTCTCTATCAACGTAAGTCATTTTGAACATTAGTTATGTTTCATAATTTGCAATATTTTTTACCTAAGACCATCAGAATCAGGCAAACGATTTCAATCAAGAAAATAATCCTTAATACCCACTCGCTCATTATCTTTGGTTAATCAAGCAAACGATTTCAATCAAGAAAATAATCCTTAATACCCACTCAATCATTATCTTTGGTAACCAAAGAACATATACAATTGAAAAAAATGGTCCACTCATTATCTTTGTTAACCAAAGAACATTTGCAATCGACCAAAAGGAGCAACATGTATCGACTAATCTTATTACCATACTATTCAAATCTTAACCTTGCTACCAATTTGCCATATCAATTCTTAGTTTCCTCTAAAATCTCATACCCCATGCGCACAAGTTTCTTTAGGGAAAAAAATGAAATGCTAATTCACCATGAATGTCTAAGGCTGAGTTGCATCTCATAAGCTCACGATGCTGCCAAGATATCAAGATATATATTTGAGCCAAATGACCAAAATTTCAGACTAACATAACAAGTTGCACTGATTCTTGAGTGATACAATCTCATGAGCAACGTGGTTGCATAGCATGACCATAAGTAAGAAGAGCTACCATGTCATGCTATGAGCAACACAACTAGCATGACTATAAGTACATAAGCATGAAGAGAATGAAACATAATTGATAAGTGCAACTATAATAACATCAGCTCTATCGATACAGTAAAGCTAAAACCTCAAATGTACTAGTTCTTGTTTGCATGTTTTTTAAATGAAATAATAAAAAATATTATCCCAAAACTTCTAGTTCCCTGACCTTTGCATGTTTCGATTAGAGCTTAGTAAGGTTTGTAGCCGGGAAACATTTGCATGTTTGGATTAGTGCTTAGTGAGGTTTGTAGCCCAGGAAATGTTTCCACTGGGTTTTTTTTTTTTGTATGTAGCCACCACAAGCGCACATCATTTTGTTATGAACAACTTAAAATAGTTTTGGTTTAACCAAACCACTTTTACAAAAAGAAACAAGAATGAGGACTCATTAAACGCCTCGCATAGTTGCAGGTACAAAATTCCAGCACTGCTGCTCAAACGAGCAGTTGAACTGAACCAAATTAAGGACCAAATTGCAAATCAGAATGCAAAAAAGCTCAAGGGTCAATTATTGCATCGAATATGTTAATGTCAATAAATTTTTGCGAGCATATATCATGGGTATCTAAAAGATTTGGTCTTACACGTCTTCTGATAAAGATACAACAGAAGCAAGCAAATCTTTCTCTAACTGCCACTCATCCTTTATCGCTAGTCCCACGGGAATGCATGAGTGAATCACAGGGCGTTTATCATCCGCTTCATTTCCGAAGATCTCCTTGGATCAGGCTCGGCTATAGCCCTCTCAGTCAAGACATGCTTTATCCGGCACATTGATTTTTTTACCTGAAATTATTTAAAGCAATTTTTTTTTGTCAAGTATCAGATGTAGAAAAATAAATAGCATGGAAAAAACATATGCTGGACATACAATGATGAGAAATGCAGAGCGCATCAACAAGAACACTGTTTCAGTTTTTTTTTTGTGTGTGTGTGTGTGGGGGGGGTTGCATTTTTCTTTGGTATATTTTTAAAATGTTAATAATTATTTTGCGTGGTGAGGTCACCTTGCACATGTTGCCGTTGCTTCTAAAATTTGTTTTTAATAATTCTCATGTTCCCCAAACAAAATTTAATTCTCAACTCTATCTGTATATGCTGGGAACTAACAGGATACTATTAGTAGGGGAGAATTGGCTGTTGGACATGCAAAGTGATGGTCATTAGCCGGCGGACACCCACTTTTTAGCATTTTGCCAGAATACATTCTGGTTCGGTGAAATTAGGCCACAGGACACCGCGGACCGGTTACAGCCGGTTGAGGAGAGAGAAATTTTCGTTTTGGACATCCGGTGTCCCTGAGCCACAGTTGGGTCCGCCCCTCTCCCTCTCACTGACGCACGGGCCCCACCTGTGATCTTCCTCCTCCTCCTCTTCTCCTCTTCTCTTCTTCCATTGCCTGCGCTTGGCTGCTCGTGCTGCTTGCCGCCCACGCACAGCCACCTCACCCCACTTCGCCCTCCACTCCCGGACTCCCGGTCGCCCACTCCGTGTCGACACCCAAGCCCCGCCAGAAAGAGAGCACCGATGGCGGACGCCGCCGCCATCGCCACCGGAGCCGGGAAGTCACGGGCCATCATGGCGCTGATTCAGGATGCGCGCGTCGAGCGCGAACAACGAGCTCGCAGCTCGCGCGCCGCCTCGCTGGCTCTGCGTCGACCACTCCACCTCCCCGCGCATGGCGGCCGTGGGCTCTGGATGGTCTTCCTCTCCTCGCCGCCACGGCGCGCATGGCCGTCCGTCGCCTCCTCCCCGCCGCTGCCCTTCGACGGGGCGGTCCAGTCTCGGGCCGACATCGGCGGCGTCGCCGCTTACGTCTCTCCTCAGCGGCTGCTCATCACATGGGCGGGCTCCGCGCCGCTTTGCTCTACCTCGACGACCTCCGCCACGACTCGAGGACGTGCGGGTAGGCGGCTGGGGATGTGGGAGGTGCCATAGGGCCGTGCTGCAGGCTGGTGGTCTGGCTGCTTGCGCTGAGCCGCTGGGCCGCCGACCGACGGAGGGCGCAGCGCAGCAGGTGGCGCGCGCGTGTCTTTGCAGGGCGCTTGGCGTGGAGGCCGGAGAAGCGGCGGGTTTTCTGGTGAGTCGCCAGAACGTGGAACGGCGGGCGGGCGTCTTGGTCTGCAGGGTGAGTCGCCAATTCGCCAGCGTGGCCGGGCCGCCGACAATGGTGGGCGCTTTCAAAGAATGGAAGAAGAGAAGAGAAGAGGAGGAAGAAGAATATGACAGGTGGGGCCCACGCGTCAGTGAGAGGGAGAGGGGCGGACCCAACTGTGGCTCAGGGGCACCGGATGTCCAAAACGAAAATTTCTCTCTCCTCAACCGGCTGCAACCGGTCCGCACTTTTCTGTGGCCTAATTTCACCGAACCAGAGTGTCTTCTGGCAAAATGCTAAAAAGTGGGTGTCGCCAGCTAATGACCATCACTTTGCATGTCCAACAGCCAATTCTCCCTAGTAGTTATTATGAGCCATTGTCTTTTAACACATGAACTTTACTTGTGGATTACATTGGTTACATGGTTCAGTTATCAGGCACCCAGATTCAAGAATACTATTCACTAACATACAAAATAAAACGAGAAACCACTTAGTTTAGTCAAATGTATTGGATTGTGCTTTAGACAAGATCAATAGGAAAATAAGTGTTTAGTATGCTATATTTTCAATTATACAAGGACAATAAATCAGTAATAACTAGGAAGCTCGTGAAAATGAAATCCCAAATGTAAACAGTGAGCAAACAAAAACCAAGGCAGGGCCAGGAAAAGTGGAAAAATATTTCTAAGGAAAAACTTTTGATATGTAGAAGAATTGTAATGGCATGGCTTCACACCAACATATCAAACAACCTATGATCTTACAAAGCATGCCATAGTTATTTGATGAAATCAAAGCTGTTTTAACTATTGTTAGACATGACATCAAAATGATTCTGCAGAAAGCAAATACTGTGCAGTTATTATTGTTGGCAGTCAGATACCTTGGAAATTCGTTCTGGATTTGGAAACCGCATGCTCTCTGAATGCAGCATCTGACGCTGTGTCATTAGCATGTTCTTTTCTTTTAGAAGAACATACCACAGCTTCTGAAGGTCATCCCAAGATTTTAGACGCAATTCAGAAGCCTTCCAACTGCGACCTAGCAATTGACGCAACAAAGAAAAGGGGAACAGTAAGCTTTCTAGAGAAGTAGTGTTCAAACTTTAAACAACAAAAATGTGTGGAAATAACAGCGCAAAGTATCTAAAGTTATGACTTCCAAAATTTGCCAAGCCATGATTTTCGCTCTTATTTGGTTCGCTGGCAAAACTTGCCAACCTCTCACATTTGGCTTGCCAAATCTATGGCAAATTGTTTTTCCATACTTTTGTTTGCCAAATCTTCGGCATGGCAAAATTTGGTCGCAAAACCAAGCAGGCCCGAAATGACCATAAGGAAAGGACCAGCTTGTCAACAGTTACATGAGTAGTATTTGCATTATGAAGGCAAGCGGGTTCAAACATTTCCGTAACACAACCAAAGAAACCGTCTCGATCACATGTTCATATCCTAAGGTTTACTTGAACACAAGCAACAGCAGGCCCATAATTTTTCCAGAGCAAACAAAGCCCATTTGTCAACACCACATTGGGAGTTCCTCACAAGACATAATCTAGTGTTTATCAAAGGAATAGATAGAAGCATATGTACTGTCCTAATCATGACTCGTTTGGGGCCTACGACTAATAATGATTCAGATATAAATGTCAGCCAAGTATACAGCAACTTTTACATCTAGTGATTCAGATATCAAATGTCAGCCAGGTACACATCAATGTTAATTTCCCAAAGAACAACCTACTAGCATATTTTGCCGCAGACTAGAGCCTATGCAAACGAGTGAGGATTGGCCAATTCGAACTCATATCAGGAGCAATAGCGCACTTAAATCAACAGCATACGCTCCAATCAACACAATCAATGGGTTGGCTTCGTCGACCATCTGCGCTAGCCACAGTACTAATCAACGAACACTCCAAACCGATGCGCTGCGCGAGGGAGAATGAATACCGTAGTGGGGAGGGGGCTTGTCCTCCTCGGTACTCCGCTCGACCTCGAAGAACTCCTCGAGCGGGTTCTGCGCCTTCCTGACTGCCGACGTCGACGCAGCAGCGGCGGACTCCGACGCGGCAGCGGCAGATGAGAAGAGCCGCCTCCCGAGCGCCATCGACAGGGACAGCATCACGGCGGCAGCGGTGGCGGCGTCCTGCAGCACGACGGATCGGATCAGGGAATCCCAGCACGGGAAGAGTCCGATTCGAGGACGGGAGGAGAGGAAGGAGGCGAAGTGAGATACCGGCGGCGGCGGTGAGTGATCCGCGAGAGAGGTGGGGATGAGAAGGGTTTAGATGCGATGCGACATGCGAGAGGGTTTTCGCTTGGAAATCTAGCGCTTCTACTCGAGTAGGCACTGACAGTGTGGACCCACTCCTGTTTCCCTCTGCAGCTCTGCTTTATGCAGCTCCAGGTCAGCATTCGTTGCAGAGTTACAGGGGAGACTGAATGGGAATATGGGATGAAGGAATCATGAATGCATGTCGAATACGGATTACAAACCGTAGTTAAAAATGGGATGAAATGCATGTCGAATACAGATTACAAACCATAGTTAAATTTTGTTTTAATAAGTGAATAACGTTATTAACAAATAACAATAGCAACAACATTGAGCAACGATCCTAGCATTACTCCCTTCGACTCAAAAAAAGAAATGTAATTCTCATTTTCAAAGGGTCAAACAATTTTAAGTTCAATCAAATTCATATAAAAGTTATTCGCATTGCTGACACCTAATATGTATCATTAGATATACATATTAGATTAATCATAAAATATATTTTCAAAGTAAGAACTATTTATAGGCATAAATGTTGATGCTATTTTTAAGAAAAGATGAGGTAGGTCATATACTAATCATGGCTTTGGAGAGCTTTCAAAATGAAAATGCCAGGGTTGTTCCCTCCTACAAAAATGTTACATCGTATCCTGAGACATCCAGCGCACTTTTGCCCAAGCAATAATTTAGAATACACAGCAAGGTCGCCACGTCGCCTCTGTTTCTTGAGACAACAATCCGTTACAAGATAGACCATAAGAGATCTAATATTATCTAACAAATTTCTCTTCCCAAAATTTTTAGAGCAACCATCCTCGCTACTCTAGCTCTTTGCCTATGTTGTGAAGGAACACACTTTCTACTCACCACATGTCCTGGAGCTTTTGGCCAGTTAAATGTATTCCAGGGAAGTGTCCCCATTTTTTATGTTTGCCAAAACCCTGCAAGGCAGGAACGGGGTCAATGGATAGCCATTCATCCTCGGCCCCTGCCCCTACCCCTCCCTCCACCCCTTCCTCGACCGCCTCTCCCTCTGCCACCACCGCCTCTACCTCTGCCACGATTTCCACCAAACATATAGAACTCGGCTTTTCCCTGCTTCAAACCCAGGGGCTGTACACCTCTCTTTTTGACACCCTTGGGTTCATCGTCGCTAGACAATTCTTCTTTGTGCCTTCTTCGGCTTTTAGAGATAAATGAAATCTCCCGTGAGCCACCAGGTCCATACTTGACCGCATCAAGTGCTTTCGAGTTCTGTTTCCTTTCCAGGGTAGCTATCCTATCCCCAAGGGGAACAGCATCCTCGTTAGATAAAGAGACACTATTCACAAATGCTTCAGCATGGTGTTCATCCTTGACCTCGTATAACCTGAAACATATAAAGCAGTAAGGACATCTTCGATGTACCAGTAGAATAGAATGTACATCAAATGAGACAGAATAGTCTTAGCTACTCAAATTTAGAAATGCAATAGGTCAGCACGAGACTGAACCAAGAACTCTGTAACTGAGAATTGCAGGGTTTTTTTTCCTGGAAGTTAATAATTTTTCATGTAAGTTCACTTTCCTTAAGAATTGGAAATATGCACTGAAAATACAAGAAATGATTCAAAAAAAATTGAATAAAAAAATTGCACCTTCTAGTACCATAGGCAACATGGCAAAATTCCAAAATGGAAAATGCGCAGTTCATGTTATAACCAAAATGAAGCAAGATCTCACCTTATACGCTTTGAATTATGCATGCCATCATCACTGTCAGGTTCTGCTGAAGCATCAGATGCATTACCATCAGATTGTTGATCATCCTCACTAACACTATCAAAATGTTCTTCAATTAGGCGAGGCTCCTTTGTAGCTGCTTGAGGATGAAGTGCAAGATATTCTTTTGATTCTTCATCAATTTCAAAATCCTGCCCATAAGACCAATGGGATTAGAAATCAAGTATCATAAAAAAAATTAGTACTGATTAGCTTACAATATGATAGAAGATTAAATAGCACAAGTAGGACAAGATTCAAGCTGTAGTGGTGGCCACAGTAAGGGTTAGATGCAGAAAATGGTTAAATTACAGCTGAAATTGTCCACATTCAGTTTCTCATACAAAAGAGTGGATCATGAACAAAAGCTGTACAGCACACATCAGTGACATTAACAAGAATGTGTACACAAAGTTTCACATGCTAAAATAAACAGCAGCAGCATTGCACAAGCATAAGATCAGGTAAAAAATAGGATAAATGGACTAAGATATGCTGTAATTTCTTTTTATATACCACTACCAACATGGACGGTACAAATCCATCTGCAAGACTGCAATCTAATAGCAGTACTGAAAAACAACCAGTAAAATTCCACACCTTATTCACAAACATTTCTTCGAACCGTTTATCATGCAAAATCGCCTTATTGAGTTCTAGTTTTCTTTTCTTCTTCTTAATACTTGATTTATCAACATTCTCCGTATCAAGATCTATTTCATCTTCCATTATACTGTCCATAATATGCCTGTTAACCTTCGGTATTTTGACGACTTGCTGCACGAGAAAAAAAAAAGAAAGTTCATCAGGTTTGTAATATAGAGCCTGTACCACAGATAAGCAGGTGAAAAACATACCGTTATACGAGATTTTCTCTGAGCTTCTATTTTCTTTTTCTTTATCTCTTCTTTAATTGTCTCGTACTCAACAGGAGCAACTTCTGCCCGTTGCTGCAAAGAAATAGAAATCCTGGTAAATACCGTTTCGTGTTTTTTCTTTAACCCATCCAACCATACAGAAAAATAATATAACCAGTCCATAATAGAGATCATTTATACAGTAGATGCCTAACAAAGATCTAAATTACAAAGAACAACCTAGTATGTCAACAAAGGGAAGTGCCTTAATTTCAGGAAATCAAACATCTAGTCGTAACTAAATGAATTGCTAAGTATAATAGAGGAAACAAAATGTCCAGCACAAAATAAATGGCTAAATATTCTAAAGAAACTCTAATGAACCAATGTAAATGTGTAAAAGAAGCCAATTTTACCTTCTTGTATAGTTCATAACGTACGACAAATCCATGTAAATATGCTCTTACAGCACTGCTGCCAATGTATTGAGTAAGGTTCAGTCGCTCCATCTCTTCTTTAGTCAAGAACTTGTACTCATCAAACAGTGTTGTATCTGGTTTCTCTTCCATCTCCTCCTATAAATGGAGGAAGGCAAATGATGAAATGTTCACTTAAGGATTACTAGATTAACTACTAGAAAGCAATTGAAGCAGTCTCACGCACAGTTAGGTTATCAAGATGTGAGCACCACTTTGGAGCAGGTCCAAGTGCAGGAATGAAGTGGGCAGGTATCTGGCTATTGTCCAGGGCTAATAGCATTAAACCACTATTCCGGAAGATGCAGACATCGTTTATAGCACCACCATCTGGTTCAATGCTAGTCATGTTATTTCCCTGCAGAAAAGATTGAGGGCATCATGGCATCATCCAACAAAGAGCTTCAAAAATGAAAATGCATATTGAAATTGGAAAGATATTAAGGAATGAGTTTCACCAAAGAAATAAAACGTTAAGAAATTATACAGGTTTATAATGGACTATGGCAGCCAATGAGAGTATTGTTATTGTTCTTTAAAATAGAATTGCAAATTACGGTTCAAAAAGACATACACCTTTTCAAGCATTGCTTGGCTAATTTCTAATAAATTATAAATCACATTATTTGGTTTGCCTACTAAATGCATAAGAGCTCCCAAGTCCTTGAACTGGGTTCAGAGCAAGAGTCAAGCAGGTATGAAGACCTAAAAATGTCGTTTCAGTTTTCCTATCGCTGTATTGTAAAAAAGGGTCATGTTAGTTCATGTGTAAAATAAATATTCCAGACTATCAAATTTATTTATTTATTTTTTAAACTCAGACTATCAAAGTTATTGTTAAAAAAAATGGAATAAATTTTAGTCCCATGAGAAACATATTCCTCATACACATACATGTAGCCTGGAACCACACATAATTTGGTAAAACTGTTAACTCCCATATTCCCTAAGAATTTGCTGATATGTTGGGAGGTACCTGGGTTAAAAGTGCCATGCATGTATGCAACTACATGCTTCCCAAATAAACCCAAAATGAAAAAAGGGCAAATACGCAATAAAGGTGTCAGCACAACCTAATATACAAAATTTGGGTTCTATTCTAATAACTTCCCTAATTTGCTTCGGATATTGAGGCTATGGCATGCATTACCAGTACAGATTCAAATGTTACAGGAACAATTCATGATACATTCAGACTGCACCATAATAAAAACTAGGTTAAAGCCTTTTAAGGTATAACCACAGCCATGTTTGACTTCAAGAATGGCAAGCGAGCAAACATCCAATGGATCATAAAATATCAGTATGTCTTAAACTAGAGTTTGCTTTAAATCCATATCAAACCCAATACGGACGTGTCAAATCACACCATGAATAATAATGAAGAAAACATTTGAACAAAATGGAAAGGAAAGAACTCACTGTATTAGGATCCCAGACTCTCACTATGTGCTTATCAGCAGTGATCAGTTTAGGTTCAGTAGAATTAAGTGTCTGGTGCCACTTGATATTTAATATTGGGCTACCATACCTGAAACAGATGATAACAGCAACTACATGCTCAGCGAAAGGTACAATATGTAACTCAAGAAGCATTCAATTATTGATTGCATTTCAAATGTAATAGAGATATGGCCCCACTGTTTACAGCTTATTCTTTCAAGACTCGTTAATAAAAACATACAGATTCAAAAAACTTATTGCAGCAGTTGTATCTGTTAATTTATTTGAACAAAACGGGTGGAATGTGTGAAATGACATGATATTAGGATGGGGAAATTAGAAAAGGTAAGGCCCCGTTTGCAGGTGGAAATAGAGTAAGAAAAACCCATCTACTCATCTAGTGAGAGAATTCCTTCAGAAGGTTCATATAGAAATGGTCGAATGGCTGGAACTAACTTTTGATAATGATTAATAAGTGAAAACCCTTTCTTCATAAGAAGAAACACAGGACTTACATGTGATCCTTAACTCGCAGAGGAGAAGACATGCGTAAATCATATATTGATATCTGCAGAAAATCCCAAAATTGTTGAAGCATACTGAGACTAAAAAAATTCATGAAATTAATATAGCAATTTTTAAAGGGATAGCTGTCATGTTTCTATAGAAGAAAAAAAATCCATAAACACCACTAGATTAGCATACAGCACACCGCTGTTAAGTACAATAGCCAAACTGAAGAAATGGGAAGTGGTAGAGCACAGAACTTCCGTGTAGAGTTTTGCTTAATGTAAAAATAGTTTCCTCAAAACCCGTTGGCATCTGAATCCCTTCACGGTTTGTGGCCGGTCATTGTCATTTGTTGCCTTGCATCATGTTGGTTGCATAAGGTTGTTTAAGACATCTTTTAGTGGTTGCTTTGGTCACGTAAGGTTGTTGTTTTAGTTGTAAGGTTGTTCTGGTCATGCATGGTCATGCAAGGTGGTTGTTCTGATCGTTGTGGTCATGTAAGGTCGTTGTACTTTGCTATTTTTGCCTTACTTAGTTACTTCTCTCTTAATGCAATGACATGCAGGTCTTCTGCATGTTCGAGAAAAAAAAAAGTAAGCTAGATGATGCAGAGTAAATAAGGTCAATTATTTGAGTGTCCAAAAAAGCTGTCGTTAAGACAAACTTCCCAGTTCTATGTTGGGTATTGAGCACAAATAGGATGGCCCGGGTAATAAGGTCCACCCAAGACCCCACTGTCTGAACAACCAGTAACAACAAGAAGTGAAATGCACAAAGGTGGAATGCATGATGCCATTTTCCCCATTTGCTCCTTAAGCAAAAGCTATTAATACAATACAGAAGAAGTTATATTATCCAACTTTGTAGGTGACAAACATCAAGGAGCACACTTCAGAAAGAACATAACGGCCAAACATGCAATAGCCTGTAATGGCACAATTATCATGGCATAATTTTATTTGAAGTTACAAAGGACAAACAAAGTAGGCAAGTAGCTATCACAATGTTAATTTACATAGACTTAAAGCAGAAAACAGAGGCATAAATGGTGCAAAACGGGTTAAATTGTTCTAAGGATAGAAAAGGTGCAAAATATACTATGCATAATGCAAAACACAGACTTCTTAATTTCTGTCATGGTAGTAGGGGAAATAAAAAATAACTAGGCACATTGAGAGAGAGAGAGAGAGAGAGCAGTGAAAATCAATCGGGAAACAGATAATGACAACACATACCTTTCCTGTACTGGTCCCAACTGCCATAAGGTATCCCTGATCTTCATCAAATTGCAAAGACGTGACCTCCTGCAGTTTCAAACATGAGAGGCAGTTACAAACTTAAGCATCAGCATACTAACTTGCTGTCAAAGTAAAACATGAACCTGATAATAATCTTCAGAAGAAACAGCTGGAATATTAATTCTGCCAACAGAAGTTTTTTTCCGCATATCAAAGCACTCAACCGCACCATCCTCACCACCACAAGCAACAAGCCCATGGATCTTACTGGGAGCACAGCAATTAATCTTGGAGTTAACAATACTTGATAATCTAGTCACCAGCTAGCCATGTAAGTTAAGTAAAAATTATTACCTTCGTGTAACAGCATTTATTGCTGGTGATTGGGAGGAAAGAGAAGCAAGGAATCGTCCCTGCAGAAGTGATTGGGAGGAAGTGAATTCAATAAACCAACAGAAGGAATATGTGCATATAATGCAGTCACAACCAGAATTGATACCACCAAAATCAAATAAGGCATATGTAATATAGCTAAGTGGAACACCATTCAAAATAATATGCTTATGTGCTTATGATACATGTGGGTCTTTGATTCTGTACTAGGTGTCAAATAAAAGCGTAAAATATGATGCTTTGCTGATGACTAATAAAAGATAAACAAACTATTCATATCTGTACGACTAATTAAGCACTGAAATTAGACCTGCTCTAAGTTGATCCTGTACAGATCTGGTGATGAAGCAGCACATAGCAAGTCGCAGGACAAACAATCGTAGGCCATGTCCCTTCCCATTCTGTCAATGAATCATTATGGGGATTAACAATATGTAAGACAGATATTTGGACAAGCACTGTTTTTACAACCTTTGAAATGATTCCCTACTACTAGTTGTTATCATTAAAGAATGGACTTCTCTGTTTAAACTCAGAATCTGAGAAGAAATACACTATGTGTTAAATTAGTACAGGATATTTTATAATGCGAAAAAAACTTATATTTCCCTAATTCTAAAGAGGAAGACAACTAAATCCACAGAGGTGAGTAGTTGATGTTACTACCTCACAGGCACACTGCACGTCTTAAACTAGAAATACATATCTATGAACGGTCATTGAGACATAAAAGTACTCCAGTAGCCTAGTAGCGATGCTAACCTTGGAATTCTCAAGCTATAATGGCTTCCATACTTGGCGTGCAAATTTACAGAACGGTCAGCACACAAAAACGCAAGTTTTGAATAGTCATCACCAAGGATCTGAAGAAACAAACAATCAAGCATGTTATGTTAGATAGAAAATACTAGAGCAGTTCTAGTCGGTAATAAAAGGGAAGGAACAGATTGTTGACACTTTCATAAGCATATTATTAGGAAATTTTGAGCAGTGAATCTCCTTTCTCCTATGGATGCATCAACTGGTAATAAGACCCACATTGCTTGAGGAAACGTAAACGGCAACAATTTTAACTAATAATAAAATATTAACTCCAGTGGTACTAGATAAACAACCATGTGTGTTCTCCACCATCCCTCAGTTACTTCTACTGCGCATGGGGAAAGCTAAAACCACCCTCTATGTATAGAAGTCCAGGTGACCAGGTGCATAAAGAGAAGAACCTCTAACCTTATCGACAATTACTTAAAAGTTATTAAAACTCATGAGCCTGGAAATGAGGTTCAATGGGAGTACCTGGAAAGTTACAATTTCTGAGATCAAGTGCCGCTCGAACTTCATCGACAATTCCTTCAACTCATAGACTTTAACTTGCGGGGGGTAAATACCTAGCAGATAATAAGACACATCAGCATGCCGCACTGCCACTCCCTTAACAGCACGCGAATTAAGCTAAGCATAGGCATGTGGACCTTAATAGTTAACACACCTGAGGCGATCACGTACTGGCCATCGGGCGTCAGCTTGATCTTGGTGGTGGCGGTCTCGAACCTCAGGTCATGGATCAAATCCAACCTCCGCTGATACTCTACAACCAAAACCAGCGAAGTTTCCCCCCTCATTGGTACCCATAAAATCTCCACACACAGAAAAGGGAACGCCGGCGGGTGGGTTCCGGAGGTACCTTTGTCCTTGCGGAGGGCGCGCTTCTTCTTGGCGACGACCCAGGGGGCGACATAGCGGCTGCCGGTGAACGAGTAGAGCTTGACCCCGTTGATGGAGGTGGACTTGAGCGTCCCCGCGCCGTGGCTCGCCGCCATCTCCAACGCGGTCGCCGGAGCCCCTTTACTCCGCGCTCCCCCTCGTCGTCGATGGCGCCGTCGCGGTGGCGGTGGAGGTGGCGGGCGCTGCTGCTACTAGGGTTTAAGGAATTTGGAGGGAGTCGGAGTCGGCGGCTGTCCCGGCGCTGGTGGCGCGTGCGCAGGGGAGAGGAGACTGCCCTTGTGCAACGGACAGGACTCGGGAGGCGGCGGCGGCGCGACGATGCTCTCGCAGCCGTTGGATTGGGGTGTCCGGCCGTTGGATGATCAACTCATCTATTCATCTGTCATGGTTGGGCCTCGTCCTTCAACTTCAAGTGCTGGTCGTGGGCCATTCGATATCAGCCCATGAGTCCGGAACGACGGGCCTGTCATTCACTCATTCTCACATCCTCCACTCAAAAAAAAACTCTTTCTCACATCCATCTCTTCTCCTCCCTCACAACGCCTAGCGCCCGTACGTTCGGACGGGACATCGCGTCTTGATGCGGCTCCGACACCTGTGCCGCTTCCGCGTCCGCATCTTGCCGCACACCCCGCGTCCCATGTCTCACCCCCCAGCACCCACGCCCACGTCCGTTTGCAGGGACTTGCGCCCCGCATAGTGACAGCCACCAGCCGCGTCATGCAATATCCCGGTCCACTTTTGCAACATTCAGATAAAAACATTGCAACATACGTCTAAAACAGATAAACATTGGAAACATACAGTTGAAACACCATTCAACGTCCCGATCTACTTTTGAAACATCTAGATGCAACACTTGCGACATATAAAAAGAAGACAGATAAAACACTTGAGACATGTGTCTGAAACACTGGTAGCATACATGTACCAAAAACATATGAAACATTGGAGATAGACGCTTGCAACATACGTGTACAACCATCGCAACATATGCAACATTTCGATCTACTTTTGTAACATCCGTATGAAACAATTGAAACATACAGCTGTAACAACTGAAACACTTGAAACATGGGCTTGCAAAACATGTCTAAAAAGCATCTAGAAACACTTGACACACAGCATCGTCGTGCGGGCATGACCTACCTGGTGAGCAACTGTGGTGAAGAAGGCTCATTGGATGGTGCGCGCCCGTACGCTCGCCATGCCCACCGTCGGCCGATGGAGAGGAGACGCTGCCGGAACTAACGAGGACGTTGCCGCCATGGTAGGGGAGGGTCAGCAACTTGCTTGAATCTCGCAGGGGTGGGGAGAGGGCCGCCGGATCCGCGGGCGTTGGGGCGCTCCCGATGGATGAGGACATAGGGGTGGGGGAGAAGGACGCCGGGTAGGGGAAGGAGTCGCCGGGGTGGTAGAGGAGAACGCTGGGGTGAGCGAAGGAGACGCCGAGGTGGAGGGAGGAGGACGCTGGGTGGATGAGGGCGCCGTCGCCGACCAGGGAAGCAGCTATGGCCGCGTCATCGGGGAAAAATGAGGAGAGGCGCAAACACTGCGGCAGTAAGCGGTGGAAATCGTTCATCCGTCCGGACGTCTTAATCGTATCATTATCGGAAAAAAACAATGTTAGTCTTTCTCTTCTGTCCAATGGAACGTGTTATGTTCTACTAAGGAGGTGTTTGAATCCAGTGACTAATTATATATAAAAAATATTAATATTTATAGTATATAATTAGTATCATTAGATAGATCATTGAATATATTTTTATAATAAACTTATTTGGAGATATAAATATTACACGTATTTTCTAGAAAAATCTAGTCAAAATTAAGAAAGTTTGATCCGCACGTATCTTGTAACCCTTTTTTTTTTAACGGAGGAAGTATTTGGCAGAGATGCCGTTGAACGCCGCCGATTCAGGGGACTTGGTGGCCCGTGAGTCTGGATGGATGAAAGATGACGGATGACCGGACGGAAAATTGGCACGACGTCACTGCACTTGCTCGATCTGCGTCGAGGTCATGGGCTTGGAGCTGTCAGTCTGGTGTACTACTCAGGGCTTCCTAACGCTATTTTTTTATTAGTACCCTTAAGTGCTACGTAGGATTGGATAAAAAAAAGTAAGTACTCTATATATTTATTATAGTGGTTTATAGAAGCTTCATATGCTTAGAGAGAGGAGATGGTCCGGGTAAGAAAAGAAGAGTGAGAGAAAATAAAGATAAAGTAAAAAGAAAAAAATTTCTTTACAAACCACAATGATAATTTACCTCGTGTGAATAATAGTCTTAATATTTTTAGTCTGCTTAGCCCACACGAGTGTTAGCCCTCCGTTGTGATGCCCTCAGCGGAGGAAGCGTCGCCGCGCTTTCGTGCACTGCCCTGCAGATCGCGTCAGGGTCGACCATCAGCAGTACAAAACGTCAGCCTTTTTCCATACTGTTTGCGTTCTTCGTTCGGGGAAAATACAACAGTGAACGAAAAAGAAAAGATTTGTGCTTAACTTGGCCGAGAGGACGTGATCTGCAGGGAGGTAAAGAATCCTGGGAAAGTCAAGGGCGGTGCAGTATTATTCCTTGAGTTTTTTCGACTGATCCGGCGGGTCGATCCTTTTACCTGAGATGAGAATCCTAATGCAGATGCAACGGCTTTGCCCTCGACATTTAACGTTGAGGGGCACACAAAGCCTTGTTTAGTTGACGAAATTTTTTAGAAAATGATAGTGTAGCATTTTTGTTGTTATTTAGTAATTAATGTCTAATCATAGTCTAATTAGGCTTAAAAGATTCGTCTCGTGAATTTCATCTAAACAGTGTAATTAGTTTTATTTTTTATTTATATTTAATGTTTCATGCATGCGTCCAAAGATTCGATGTGACAGGAAATCTTGAAAATTTTTGCAAAATTTTGAGAACAGGCACCAATGACATCCCCAACAACGCCACCTAGGCAGGTCATGGATGTGAGATTTACAGCCTGTTTATTTGGCTGGGTTTGTTTGTTGCTGGATCGTGAAAAAATACTGCTGGCTGGTTTGGTGTGAGAAAAAAATACTGTTTTGATTAGAAATTTACGATCATTTACGAGGAAATAAGCCTAGCCGAACATGCTCTTACAAAGGCTGGACAGCTGTTGGCAGTTTCCTTGATAAACTAGTATTTCTCTGTTAACAACAGCGACCGCATGGAACCCGTTACTTTAGATGTTAATGCAGGGTATATTCAGTATGCAGCCACATCCGCAGCCAAAAAAAAATCATAAACGGAAAATGCTGGCAATTCCTAATGCGATACATGAACTCTTCCAAGTAAAAAGGCCCGGTTCGTGTCATTTTGTTTCAGTAAAGTTTCTAACGCAATACTTGCAATCTAACTCAAGCAAAGGAACGCCGTACTTAGAAATCACGGAAACAAAACACACAAAACAGTTTTTTTTGGAACGTACACACACAAAAAAGATCAGTATGAGCACGGGATTTCCTAAGCCAACACACGGTTAGCTTATTGTCTATATTATTATTTATTTTTCTAAATAGACTACCGTGCTCGCTTACGTTGAAATTTAGCTTATGCTGATGTTTATATTAAAGTGGTGTAGAAGAAAAATATTATTGCATGACTGAAAAGTAGCGTTGAATAAGCTCATTCTCCCTAGCCTCCCTGTGCGTGCGTCCCTGCGTGGGGATTCATTGACAAATAGCCTGTTCGCTTGGTCATAAACGATCGTAAATTTCCAGCCATAACAGTATTTTTCTCTCACACCAAACCAACCAACAATAAATAATCCACGATCATTTACGGACTTCAACATGCCAAAATCCCCTCAAACTTGAACTGAAAAGCAATGTGTGTATTGACCGCCATCGCCCATCGCCCATCGCCAACACCAACCTCCTCGATGTCCAGGTCAAGTCCCAATCTGAAAGGACCTAGGATGTCGCCAGAGGGGGGGTGAATCAAAGCGCTTCAAAATTAACACCTTTAAATGCGGAAACATAGAAATGGGAGTTTCCAAAATGGAAACTCCAAATTAAGAGTACTACCACCCCTCACAAGTTAGCCACAGAGTAAACAAGGTATAAAGAATATATCTAGAAGCTACAACCTGCAACATCAAGTTAGAACAGAGAATAAATATTTTTAGTAGTAGAAATACACGGACGTGGACTATGAATACGGACGTGTCCCAGATACACGATGCAGATCAGTCCCCTAACTTGCTCCTTTTGATTTCTATCTTCAAACCAAACTGCAGGCACCTAATTTAACTATCAAGATATACGGAGAACTCAAGACAAGTGCTAGAGCAACACAAATATCAAATGAAATGCGAATTGAGACACGATATTTGTTTTTTATCAAGTTCGGACTCGCTCGAGTCCTACTCTCGCTTGAGGGGTCATGGCGACTTGGAGAAGGTCGCCCCTAGAGGATACCACGAAGGTCACTCTAAGCCGAGTCTTTTCCAACTCCTTTTCCTCCTTCCACTAATTGATTCCGAGGGACGGAAAGTACTCTATATAATTTTTCCGAGGCACACCACAATCTTCCGGTGCTCTAGAGAGAGGAGACGTCCTAAAAAGTCTAGGAGAGAAGAGTCCAAGAGTAACAAAAAAGCGAATCACGAGATTGACAATATGCACAAGTGCTCAAGTGGTTGGATGGCTCTCTTTGAATTTCACTCAACCCACAAATTGATTTTGCAAGTTTGATCAATCACTCACTAGAGAGAGGGTTGGCAAGGCTCAAAGCGCGTGTGTCTAAGTCAAGAGAATCAGCACCTCCAAAGGTGGAGGCTTGGGGGTATTTATAGCCCCTAAAAAAAACTAGCCTTTTTATATACTAATACGGACATGTTCCGGGATGCATACAACAGACAACGAAGTATGACTCACATCGCGCCAACAATAACTAAGTTACGTGATGCAGTGAGGCATCGGAACTCCTGGGAAAGAAGGCCGGGACTTCCGACCGTCGAGTTTTCTCGACTCAAGTCGGAACCCCGACCCTTTATTTTGAAAACATGTAATCGAGTTAAAGTTAGTGAGGTGTCGGAACTCCGACATATGTCGGAACTCCCGACATACGCCGAACT